CTAGCAACATAGTTAAGGATGCGAGAGAAAGTGCGCAAAGTGAGTGTGAAATGTTGGTTTGAAAAAGGAATAATAAGAAACACACGGAAAGAAAGTAAAACAGAAAAGAAAAGAACAAGCATGTAAATCAATGACTGCACATCAAAGGTGTACCAGTGCAGTCGAACTGATACTTAGCAATGTGAATACGTAAATGACGCTTGAATTCAGATAGGGAATCTAAAGTTGTCAATCGGGGTGGAAGACAATTCCAAAGAGAACCAGTTTTCTGTAGGAAAAGGGATGAAAAAATACGACCATGTGAGTTAAAAACGAGCTTTTGGGCCTACGTATTCTGGCGAAGTAAAATAAAATATACTAACCAACGTCCTTCCCTAGCTCTCACATGCGACTAGCACATGCCCCTCCATGCATTAACGTGAAAGCATAAGATACGATGATCATATCAGTGAAAGCTAACAGGAGCCCGGCAGATTCGCTCAGTTTAAGTCTTTCCATCTTCTAACACAAGCCCTGAATGCATCTGCTGCACCCAACGTGCTTCGATGGGAAGTCTAACTCTGTGCACATTACGAAAACCTGATAAGATACAAGTATACCCCGGCCCACAAACAGCAGTCAAGTGTACTTAGTATCCGAGATATCCTTTCCTAACATTTTTTTAAATATTTTTTTATGAAAGTGCACATATGCCTACATAGATCATAGAATGGAAGATAAAAACAACAACAACATCAAGAGAACATAGACTACAAAGGGCGTGTAGGTGCTATTGAGCTGTGCCGGTGAGGTGAAGTGCGCTCCCCCGACCAATGGTCTCGGGATCAAGGCGCACATCACGCAGTCGCACCATGGGGGAAAGGGAGAGAAGAAAGACTGTGTGTGAAGAGTGAGAACCAGAGAGCCAGACAATGATGGAGAGAGAGAGAGAGAGAGAGAGCGAGAGAGAGAGAGAGAGAGAGAGAGAGAGAGAGAGAGAGAGAGAGAGAGAGAGAGAGAGAGAGAGAGAGAGAGAGAGAGAGAGAGAGAGAGAGAGAGAGAGAGAGAGAGAGAGAGAGAGAGAGAGAGAGAGAGAGAGAGAGAGAGAGAGAGAGAGAGAGAGGGGAAGAGATGGGGGGGGGGGTGAGTGAGTGCCAGATTAGTTCAGGAAACTATGGCAATGGACACATACTTCAGTATGGACCACTACACCCATGCTCCGGACAATGTCCGTACCCCACAAACAGCAATCAAGTGTACTTAGTATCCGATATATCCTATCCAAACGTACATCAGTATGGACAAATACACCCATGCTCCGGACAATGTCCGTACTAAGCAGCTAATTGCTGCACTGCAAGAACCACACCAAACCACGAACCACCAGTGCAGTGAGCAAAGAGTTATGGTGTGCAACTTATGGCAGAAAAGAGTCTGACCTCGGAAGTGCTTGAAAACAATTACTAGTACATTATACTGATGATTATAGAGCAGCAGAAAAGCTGATGCCAGGATAGGGATCTTTATTCTAGGACTACTCAAAGGCTAACGCCTATCGGGGGATTTCCCATTTGCGTATGTGCAGGGAACTTAGTCAACGGGATGCGAGAAAATACGTAAAGTGAGCGTGAAATGAAAGAGTTTTAAAATGATAAGAAACACAGAGAAAGAACAACCAGGTGGATAGAAGTGAAGAGGCATGCCTGATCAGCCTGCATGAGCAAGTTATGAGCAAGTCATGAGGGATCCCAGGTGATGGAAAGGAATCATGCGTCTTCCGCACGTGCAAATGCCAACACTGTAATCACGAGAAGGCCATCACATGCAGCGCTGGTGGAAATGTTTTACAAGTCACCGAGACGTTGATTGTGTGCAAGTGTCCAGAACCGGCCTGTCCTGGATTGTGACCAACCTGTCCTGGATTATGGCCGGACGGCAAGCATCCATCTAGCGAAAAATTCCATCTAGCGATGCGCTCTCATGTGACTTACACAAGTTACAGTATAATATACGCCACACAGCCACTGCCTAGCAGAGTCAGAACCTGGCCAAAACGGGCATGGACGGACGGTGCCGAAGACAATACAAGTAAGTCCAATTGATTGGCAGGAACCTTATTAAGCACATCGGTCCCGTCTCCGATATTTCCCAACCCATCGCCAATTGCACCAAGCGCGTCGCCGATTCCACCCGCCACATCGCCACCAGCATTACCCAGTTCGTCGCCAACTGCATCAAACGCGTTGCTGATTCCACCCGCCACATCGCCACCAGCATTACCCAGTCCGTCGCTAACTGCATCAAAAAACGCGTTGCCGATTCCACCCGCCGCCTCGCCACCAGCATTACCCACTCCGTCGCCAATTGCATCAAACGCGTTCCCGATTGCCTCCTCCGCGGCACCACCGAACGCACCCCCGCTGAAGCCGGGGCGGAATGGACTATTATCTTGTTGCGCCTTGCTTTGACATAGCTGAAGGACCAGAGCGGCCAGACAAGCAAACAGCAGGGCGCGGGCCATTCTTTACGGTACAAGTGAGACTTTCAAAAGAATTATAATGATGCACTGAGACTGGAAGGAGGAACTCGACTGATTTTCTACTGTCCTTTTCGCTGGTATTTATACGCTGTTCGTGCCGGTGATGGCAGCATGGTGGTGGTGGTGGTGGGGGGGGGGGGGGGGGGGGGGGTGGTGGTACTTGCCAAATAAGAAATATCGTGCCGATGTGCTTGTCCAGTGTGTATAATACAACTGTGATGTGTGTGCGTGTGCGTGTGTGCGTGAAGTTTTAATTTCCAACCACACACGGGAACACACCACGAAGCTCGGACTATGCATGCGGCTGTGCGTGAGTGTGTCTGTACTGTGTACATGTCTATTCACTGTGTTACCAGGTTACACGGTGTGTTCACTGTCTGTGCATGTACATGTACTATGATGCAAAAGTGCAGTCATAGCGCACTGCAGTGACGACGACGGTGAATAGCTGGCCGAGATTTGAGTTTGAGCGGACGGAGCTCTATGATGTCATTGCCATTGGTAAGTGCATGGGTGGTGAATAGGACAGCGAAGCCAGCGTCACGCTTACATATGCACAGTGTGGGCGGGATAACAATCATATTTTTTTGTGGTTTGTGTCACTCCATTCGATCCTGGGCCTAGTACAGATGAACAGAGCCACAGATTGCACTGTATGTACATGTAGTTTGCAGGCTTTCAATGTCTGAAAGAGAATTGGCGAGCACGCATGCTCATTCCCTGGGCACTGCAAATTCACAACTCATTTCATTTTTTTATTTTTCATTTTTTATTTCAAAAAGAAAGGACCAAACTGTAGCTAGCACTGTTGCACCTTCTGACTACACAACATCTTGCCTATAATAACCGTTAGTGTTAGTGTAGGATACAAACTACGGCCAACATGTAACATTTTGGTCCTTTCTTGGTCCTTTCTTTTTAAATTTAATCCTTGGCTTTCCATCCGAGTCTTACATTTCATTTCGCAGAATCATTTTCGACGTTTCGGCAAACTGCCATCCGGTCATGATCAGAAATTCAGAATGCAATTGTGCCCAGGGAAATGAGTAGGCATGGGCGGGTAATGCTAGTTATTTGCTGCGATAATGCTAAAGGCAATGCTCATAATAATTATGAGGATATAATGCCACTTATAATGCTCACACTACTCCATAATGCCAGTTTGAAAGTTGGAAAAGTCGATTTAAGAAGGCCGTCTTGGATCAAGACCAAAGCGTAGAAGAAAAAAACATAAAGGGGAAGTTAAGGCAAAAATTAAAATTTCACCAGTTGTAGTCTTCGGGGTGCTGAGTCGAATGGTCTTGGTCCGAGAAAGCTGACGACGCTCCCTTCCTACTTGAATCCCAATCGAACTCGCGCACTTCCACCGAAACTGGGTGACTGCGCCCTACTAGATGGGGATTTGTATGCAAAATGTCACTAAAAGCGCCGTTTCGTTCTTATAAAAGCACGGATGACCGCGATTGGCCCATATGTTGTAGTATTTTGGACGCTGAGTCGACTGGTTTTGGTCCGAAAAGGCTGCGATGCAGCGTTCCTCCTTTATTCCCAATCGAACATGGTTGAACAAGTGGTCACGTGCTCCTGGGTGCCCAAATCACCTGGTCACCACGCCAGCAGGCGACAACTTTCACACCAAGGCTCAACTCGAGTTCAACTCGAGTGACAGGACTGCACCCAAAAAAGGTCAAACAGGCTAGTAAGTTGTACCCTGCAGGCACGGTGACCAGGTGACTGGTGTACGCAGGAGCACGTGACCACTTGTTCAACCATGTTCAATTGGGAATAAAGGAAGAACGCTGCATCGCAGCCTTTTCGGACCAAAACCAGTCGACTCAGCGTCCAAAAGACTACAACATATGGGCCAATCGCGGTCATCCGTGCTTTTATAAGAACGAAACGGCGCTTTTAGTGACATTTTGCATACAAATCCCCATCTAGTAGGGCGCAGTCACCCAGTTTCGGTGGAAGTGCGCGAGTTCGTTCGGGATTCAAGTAGGAAGGGAGCGTCTCAGCTTTCTCGGACCAAGACCATTCGACTCAGCACCCCGAAGACTACAACTGGTGAAATTTTGATTTTTGCCTTAACTTCCCCTTTAAACAGCAGTGAGCATGTTGTCTGAAACAATCCACTGAGAAGGTCGATTTGCAACGTCAAGTCTCTGGACGAAGCCGGACGGGTTCAGATGCACGATTTTCGGAACTGGACCTAGCCAGCTTCATGCATGACACCGTTGTCGACCGGCAATTATGCTTGTAATGCCAATTTTGCATGCGAAATGGTGTTATAATGCCAGCATTATGCCACCTGGAAAAAAGGGACTATAATGCCAGCCATAATGCTAGCATTGCCCGCCCATGCCTAGAAATGAGCATGTTTCTCTCTTTGAGTGATGAAGCTGGAGGATGCCTGGCCCCTACTACGTTTCAATGTCTGGCCTGCCATCTGCAGCTGAACCGGTCCACTTATTTCATAATAATTATTGTACTACACGTACCTGTATCACTTGTGTGTATCAGCGAATTCAAAATGAGTAAAGAAATCCATTTACAGTGTATCTGAATAGGTAAACAGCAGCTTTCGGCCTTGTCCATAATGAGTACTCTGCTACTGCGGTGCGGACATCATTGATACTATACTAGTACTGAAGTACTCGACACAAAGTTTGTATTACAATCAGCAAAATGTGAGAACAACAATCATCGGAACGAAGAACTCAACGGATGTAATCAGTCATTGATACTAGTAATTGCGCAACAGTGTCTAGCTGTGGGGAGGCAGGGAAAGAAGAGCGGCGAGGAGGAAGTTCCAGTCACTGCAGTGTGGAAACGAGCGCTTCAATGCCAGCGGGACAGATGCAAGCAGCTGGTGTTCAATGGTATTGGAGCTGAGGAGGGGGGAATGATGTCCGCAGTACTCTTATGGCGCGTAGCAGTGTCGTTTCCTCATTTTGCACCTTTTATCCGTGTTTTAGCACGTCTATTACATACCTCTAAGCGTGGGATCGCGCTTCCTCATTTTCATTCAGTGCTTATGACTGTGCATTGAAATTTGTTCTAGCTATTCATTATTCTAAACCTTCACTGAGGAGACCTTACAATGATCGAAACAGCGTTGTGTGGAGGGAATATTATCTTGTCAGCATCTACAACTTGGAGTCGTGTTTTCTTGTTTGATGGTCGGCCAGAGAGCGCATGTGCTGGTCGAGCCTCGAGGTGGAATTGCTGCAGTGTACATTGTGTGCGTACAGTGTACATTGTGTGCGTACAGTGTACATTGTGCATATACATACAATACAGGGCATACTTCACACTAATCTTTACACTGTAGATATCTACCCATCGAGGGATAACTGTTCCAGGCTTGACATTCTAGTACGTCATGTACATGTATGTGTACTTTCTATTTGAAGTATACAGTCATACCTGTTGACCGAAGGACCACTTCTGGCTAGGGTCCAGCGGAAAATGCTCCGAAAATGTTCGTATAATGCTTATCATAATGCTCCAAAAACTACCTTGTAATGCTGATTATAATGCTCCAACAAGGCTATAATGCTCTTGGTTTGGAACAAAAATGGAATAAAGGCTGCACATTGTCAAACTTCCAGGAAAGGATTCATGTAGTCCATCTGCCTCTGAAGCTGCTACAATATCTCTCACGAGCTCCACCACTTCTTAGCACTATAAGACATGATCGCGTCTCCATTGGCTGCTCTCCATTGCCACTTTGATGCAGGGCTGTGGCTGAATAGTGGGTGTATTAAATCGTTTCCCTTGCTCATCCATGTAGTGATAGGTGAAACCATTATTGCTGGTAATCATGTGGATGCTTGAAGCTTATCATGGGAAGTGGTATTCCTGACTGCAGACAAGCTGTCATTGCTTCCAATCTGTAAAAAAAGGTCTTCATCTGAAACAGCTCACGTGAGGCCAGTTCCTGAGAGACGATCTCAGATCGAGATCCCTTCCATTTGCGGAAATCCTGAAAACATGTGGTCAGAAGTTATTTTGCCGCTCTATGTCCTCTGCTTGCGCTGGGGTTTTTTCTCCGGAGGTTGCGTGGAGACAAATGGTTGGCCACAATACTCTTCTTTTCTGATAGCACTTGACTGTAGGCCTTGCATTACAATCGTCCACGACGAATTGTACGTGCTTCCCCAGGTAGCCCTTTCCCAAAGATGCCAAAATATTTCGCAACTTATGCTTTTTCGCAACCATGCCAAAACAGGCGAAAGTCTTGGTACTGCGTCCATGAGAAATTCTAGTTCTTTTCGAGCCTGCTGAGCTGGACTCGGCAAAGGCAGTAATTTGGAACAAGCTCTTTCTGTTTATAGCCGCTCCTTCATCCCGGTCCAAATTTATCGATGGATCTGTGTTTATTTCAGTATCGCTAGAGATGCTATGGCCCGAGCCTATGGCATAACAGGAAAACTCCTCTTCGTCTGTTTGATATTTATTCACTTCGCGTACGTCTAGGATCCTCCCTTTTTTTTTTTTTACTATGTTCACATTCCCAGCTCGAAAATAATAAAGAAAGATAATGATACTGAGACTAGGACGAACGTGACAACTATTGAGCAGGGGCTGCACGGAGACGCAGCAGTGATGGTGGGGCATTGATGGCTCTGCCGACCTGAGGTCTCGCCGTCACCGCCAAAAACACGCACCAAAAAGAAAAGATAGAGCTGTACGAGTCAGCAAAATGAAAAGAAAGGAAGGGTTAACATCAGCGAGTGTGCGCGAGAAACTGTGAGACTATTAACAAATTACAAGGGTTGTTACTGATAGGAGCATCATCATGGCTGATCATGGCGAGTCGGTTGTCTGAGCCAGTTGTGGTGCATAGATAGGGATAGAGGAGAGCGACGAGAGCATCATCATAGCGAGTCGACTGCCCAGAGCCAGTTTGTGCTTCGCAGATGGCGATAAACATTAGTTTTGAATGCTTGCATTCCCTTGCTGTGGGGAGGCTGGGACAG